AGGCATAAGTATTGACTGCAAAACTGATTTGCACATTATTGTTGGCAATCTGACAGGTGTAAGATACCGAAATGATATTCTTCATCCTATTGTTAGACGTATTGCATGTACTCTGGGGGAGGATTTCATCTTAATGGACGATAATGCTCGACCTCATAGAGTCCGAATCGTAAACGAGTACATGGAAGTGAAACAACTTAGCGTATGTACCCAGCAAGTCGTTCTCTAGACCTGAAGTTAATTGAACATGCCTGGAACATTCTTTAGCAACGCATTTCAGTTCGTCTTACACTTCCCCAAAATCGACGGGAGCTTCAGAGAGCATTACAGGAGGAATGGCAACAGATCCCTCAGGCTAGCCTTGGACAGCTGATGGGTAGCATGGGTCTGCGCTGCAGGACCTCGCGGGGAGGTCATACAAAATTTTGGCAATCATTTTAGTGACGTAATTTGACTCTTCTGAAAAAAAATCTCATTTCCAGGTCTACCCCCAATATGCCGAACTCTAAAGTGACCGTAATGAACAATTCGTAGCGAGTGTTCAAACAAATTAATCACATACACTGTTTAATTTTCACTTTTTAAATATAAAATATGATACTAAAATTAAAACTGCATTCTGTTTTTTATGATACAGTATTTGCAAAACATATTTAATTTGATGATCCTTGACTTTTTTTGTCCAGTATATAAAGCTAGGAGACAAACAGATTTGTGTAATTTATTTTCAAGTATAAAACCATCTCTGTTCTAAAAAGCTCAGTGTTGCAGACATCGTTTTGCAATCGTAAGCTAATCAAATGGTCTACATTTAACATATCATTTGAAACGTTTAGGCTAATAGATATAAATAAAATATAACTTTAGAAAATTGAAAATCCTTTTAAAAGTTGTATCGCAAAGAGTATGCCTGTAGCATGATTTTCAACGGTAATGTAAGCATAAATGGACTTAATTTTTTCCAAAACATTAGAATACTTTTTCTATTACATGGATGACTTATCGGAGATACTATGTAAATTAAAGAAATTCCATTCTGATTTCCCTTGGGATATCTCCTAAAAATGCGTTTTGTTTTAGTTTTGAATTTTAAATTAATTCTTTACATTACATGATATTGCATTTCTAAACTATATACCATGAATTTTCCAAAACTCCTTTTTAATTGCATACATTAGGCAGATTTAAACATCTTATTTACTAATTTGCAATTAAGGTCGACATGAAAACAATTAAAAATTAATATTTTTATTAAATAAAACAGACGAATTCCTATTCATGTAAATGACGTACTCAAGTTCAAATGATTGAAATTTGCAAAGCTATGGATGTGAAAACCTTTAACTGTCTTATTACCTTGAATTAAAAATATATCATACGAAACCATTTAACAAAATTATAATTTATTCTAAATAAAGTTTCGCATTTAATGGCCTATATTCATTAGCAAGTGATTAGATCACTAGCAACAACTACTAAGTTTAAGTTTACTTTAATCAAATACTGGAGAGGCATGTCTCAGATTTTATGACATACAATCAATTTATCATGCCAAAACCAATGTTTATCCTCCAGTGATGTTATTAAATAGTTCTGTCCCAATAGCCGGTCTACAGAAAATGAATAGATTCTTTTAAATTCTAAATGATACTATTTCTAATTTTACAACATTTATAACAAACTTACAATATATCTTATCTTTTTGATATTTTGCTTAAAACACCACACTTTCTACAACGGCATTGTAAACATATTTAAGAAAACGTTAATCCCTCTCCTAAAAAGTCATCTGTGCTGATTATATTTAAATGAACATATAAATAATGTTAGAATACTTTTTGTCTGGAAAAGCCTGTTCGAGACTGAATAAAACCAATCCTCTAGGTTTAAAGGAAAAGTGCTGAGTCAAGACATCTTAAACTACACAGGGATCGTGAGGCAAAACACTATTTTTAAAGCAGTCTAAAGTTTAGGTTTTATACTCATAACTAGTTCTAATTGTAACGGGGACCGTTACAGATGTTCCCCAAACGCTCCCCAACTCCCTTTTTGTGCCAATTTCCTTTAGAACTTTTTGTAGTATATGCTCAGTATCGCAGGATTTCTTTAAAGAATTTTAAAAGCTACAATGATATCAACTTTTTGTCATTTAATGTATTGCATGCAAACGCACGTGCATGCACATGCAAGGTGATGATGGCATGTTGTCTAAACCATTAACATATCTTTATATTCCAAGAATCAATAAGTCATAAAAATATAAATTTACCGTTTTTCAAATATATTGTTCACTTTACGAATAGCGCGTGCGCAAGTGCATGCAATCCCGTCCTTGCGTTCAATTTTGATAGCAGTATCATGTAGAAATCTATTATACCTATTCATGTGCTAAATTTCATCCTGTTTTGTTGAGAAACAAGAAAGTTATAGGCATTTAAAGTTTCAGCCAATCAAATTGCAGCTCACGTGGATTTACGTGCTTTCGTGACAATTCTTATATATCCTGCTGTAGATCTTCATAACGTATGACTATGTTCAAAATTTTAAAGGATTATGACGTAAAACAAGAAAGATATTAAGACTGTAGTTTCAGCCAATCAGAGCAAAGCGCACGTGCATGCGCGTAAAATCTTACTATTTTGACCTTGTCAGTTTGTCTATACTACTAATATATCCATGTATTGTGAGTTTCAAAAAATTCCATCAAGAAATAGAGAAGTTACGGCTTCATCCATTATATTGGTAATTTCGCATGTTGCACGTGCGCGCTCTTGCCAGCACACGTGCATGTACATGCTTTCATGAAAATTCTTATATATCATGCTGTAGATCTTCATAATGTGTGACGAAGTTCAAAATTTCAAATGATTATGACGTAAAACAAGAAACATATTGAGGCTTTAGTTTCAGCCAATCAGAGCGAAGCACACGTGCATGCGCGTGAGATCTTGCTATACTGACCATGTCATCTTGTCTATACTACTAATATATCCTTACATTTTGAGTTACAAAACATTTCATCAAAAAATAGAAAAAATATGGCTATATCCATTATATTGGTCATTTCATGTGCTGCACATGCGCGCTCTTGCATTTAAGCAAGTGTGCGCAAAATGACCTTCGTTCCGCAAATCTACATAACATGCCTACTGACCCTACAAAGGTTTCACCTAAGTCGGATGTGTAGTTTACAAGATCACTCGCGGAAAACATTTTCCCAGGAAGAAGAAAAATGATAATAACTAGAAAGTCTGCTATTGCAAGCAATAGCAGATGTCGCCCCGTACTGGACAAGATTTTCATTTTTATCATCACTAAAACAATGGTCCATTACCTAAGCTTGGACAACCATCGAGTCGTATCAGTCCTTTCCGTTCGAAACGGAAGACCTTAATTGGGTACATCCCACTAATTATTTATAGAATCGGTAGGAGAAGAAAGTAGTGCAGGAAAAAATTACAAGTTCCTAAATTTGCAGACTTGCATAAAAGAAATTGGGCAGATGTACTGAACTGAGCCTCATACTTGTTAATTGGCAGTATCTTTCCTACCAAAAAAGCTTGGCAAGTGTAATTTATTAAGAAGATCAGCCGAATTATTTTGTGTATTATAATGCCAGTGAGAACTCTGAAATTTCCCTACTTTCACTTTCATTTTTAGAGGTTCTGCCGGAAAACGAATCTGACATGCCACCTTCAATTCGAGCATTTCTGCATTGCACAGAGCTGATGTTTGTTATGAGATGATAAATCATGTGTAAACTTTCTCAGTTTAGCGGAATCATGAACATTTTCGGCGAGATGAATGTTTTGTATACAGTGGTGATCAAGGCTTCGCGTACCTGCAGGAGCGGATCCAAGGATTTATGAATGAATAAAAACTATGGAAATGACGTACCAATTTTCTAATTTATACTTGCACTTTCTAATAAAATGAATAATGTACAAGTAATAGATATACAAGAAAAAATAGATAGATAAAATAAAATAATTATAAATTCAAGAGACAAAACAGAAGGAGAATGAATGATGGCAAAATATCACATGACGGGAACTGAATTTTATGAATGAAACTTTTAAAACGTTACTTGTAAGTTGTATATGTTATATCTGTGTATTCTACCTGGCTGTGCGCTTCAAACGGGGGGGGGGGGGTTCGTCTTGAACATAGTACCTTAACGTTTGAACGGTAAGGGCTAGGGCTTTCGTATTTCAAATATGTAATCCTTGTGAAAAGAACTTTTATTGGATACGAAGAACTTTGACCCTTTGACCTAGACCTTGGAGAACACATATGTACATCTTAACCTTTTTTTCTGTTTCGTTTCTATGGCAACTGTGAGCGACTCATTACAATTATTTTAAAAGTAGAAATCACTTTGACACATTGCAAGGAATAAACATTGAAAGTTTCAAAACGATTACTTGCGTAGTTATTGAGCGAAATTAAAGAATTTTAACTTTCCCCTGGTTTCCATGGCAATAATCGATTATTTGAAAATTTTAAATGCGAATCGCACAACTACAGATACTAATCATTAAAATAAGAAAAGTTTCATGACGAACGTTTTAAGGGACCAGAGAGAACACTCGCGGACAAAATTCGTCGCTTTTTACAGGTTTCCATGGCAACGGTAGACATAGAACTGAACGACCTCACTGCACAACTACAACCAGTGATCGTCCTTTGAGGAAAGTTTCAGGAAGATTGTTCCAGCCATCTCCGAGAAACAGCCTGGATAAAAAAAAACATGCGTACAATATCAATAGAGAGACTTCGTTCGGGGCGACATAATAATAATAATAAGAAGAAGAAGAAACAGAGTAAAAACAATAGTTCCCCAAGAGTTTGGGGAACATAATAAAAGAATACGTCAGGTTAAGCTTTGAATTAATTTTAATTTTCCTTAAAAATAAAGCATTTTTGCATTTCATATTAAAAGATTTTCCAAAAATAAGGTATTTACAAGCATAAAAGCACAACATCAAACTTATCATATCTTTCTGATTAAAACATTAGTATACTAACTATATTAGATAAAATATAGATCAGTAAGATTAAAACAAATTAAAATACCAATTAATGAGAAATTCTGACTGATTGAAAATAATTTTAATATAATTGAAAAACAACGAACTTAAAAACTTTTACAGTTGAGAGTGTATTATGGCACCAAAATTCCACACTAAATGAATTTAAAATTCTTTATGTCGAAATCATCATCTGTGGAATGGGCAAAGACAACTTCCTTAAAACTTTTATTGCCATCTGATTCTCTTGACTTCGCACTTAGCTCTTGAATATCGGAAATATCACAATCCATTGCATTCGTCTGGTATTTGGTTTCATTGCCCTAATAAAGTAAAACAAGTACATTGAGCATTTAGTTGTAAATACATTTTTTTACACATTCATTTTATATTAAACATTTGAACATACACACACACCCAGAGAGAGAGAGAGAGAGAGAGAGAGAGAGAGAGAGAGAGAGAGAGAGAGAGAGAGAGAGAGAGAGAGAGAGAGATGTTTTACCTCTTTCTTCATAAAACTGTGTAAGGAACTGCTTAATAACTTTAAAATACCATATGTTTCACCACCATCTTTCAACAGGGTCTGGTGGACATTTTCTGTTTTGATAAAAATGAAAATACTTCATTTACATTAGCAAAAATTACATTGTGAAATAATTTAATAAGGAATATTTAAGCCATGAGAGTTGTATATCCCGGTGTTTTGCGCAAAATAATTTTCCGAAGTTTAGAACTTTATGTTCTATAGGTATTAAACAATGTCGTAAGAGCAGGTTTTGGTATATTATATTACATGAAATTATAAAATAATACGGAGAGACAGTAGCTTTTGAGACGGGGGTCTAACAGTTTTGTCACATTTCTATTGTTATTCATATGCATACCAGTTTTTAACGACTTTGTTTACATCGAACCGCAACTTGTTTATTTGTCTCATTTTCACAGAGTGTATATTTTAATTTAAACTTAAACATATCCAAAAGACAATGTTGGGCAAATTGCGTTTCATATCTAACTCTTTGAAAAGCCTCCAAAGCCACTAAATTAACAGGTCACCGTGAGTCAACGATTGATATTATAATCCCTTTACTCATGTGACAGTCCACGGTTCGATACGCTACACACTTTCATTGAACACTTCATTGGTTTTGTCATTGAAAGTTTCTATTGTGACTTTATCTATCGTGCTTTCAATTTCAAATAATGGAAGTTTTTTGCGTAAAATTTTCATAGGGTTTGAAGATTATTTGTCTCTTATTTTACTTGTATTTTTCAATGGGGGTGTTTTGAAAGAATTCTGGTATTGAAAGTGTGATTAGTAAATATAGGCTCATATGGCATCTGCATTATGGTCTGCAGGGCAAGACAGCTACCCCATCTCTAAGCATTGGAACCATTTATTACTTAAGCACAAGATACTACACAATCTCTATTTTCTTCATTTAAAATTCATAGTAAAGAATCTGTTTGAGAAAAAAAAATCATATGTGCTAATAATGTTTACATTCCACATTCTTGCGATTTAAATGTCTACGCCAATTACCGGATACCCTAATTTCGATTAATTGATTGTTTGTATATTGTTCACTCGTCACTCTGGAGAATTTTCCACTCATATGGAGACGCCACCAGTTGCAGGTGGAGAGATGCAAATTTGTCCGCACTCAGGACTATTGAGCAGGGAGGGATCTTTTTTCGTTCCAGCACCTACTGCGACACGGGACCTCGGTTTATACAATCTCATCCGAAGGACCGGTCTTCAGGTCCCCCAGTGGGATTCCAACCCGTGACGTAAGGATCAACGCCTTACTTCGCGACTCTAGAGCAGACGCTCTAAACACTACCTTAAGTTCGAAAGTAAACCCATCCGAATTTCCGGAATTTAAGGCTAAAACATGTTCTTTTTAATGACATTGTCTGTTAATGTCTAAATCCTTTACCTTGCTCTGACACAAGTCTTCCCTTTCTTTTCTCTCTAAAGATAATTCCAAACAAGTCCTTGACGACTTTGCCGATGAAATGTTTGATTCCAAGTTTTTCGTACTCCATGTTAAGTGTTTGTTTGACTTCATTAATGCTGTTGTTTAAAATGGCAGCAAAAATTGTTATCAATGTCATGATAACACAAAACATGAACGAAAAGTAAAAAAGCTCGGCAAAAGTTGGGACGGCAGTAACCATTGATTTTACGTTATTCTTTCCGATGAAACTATTGGCAAGAGTACCGCAAGTACTGAAAAAGTTTCTATACTCTTTTAGTTTTACTCCGAACAGCAATGTTCCTAAAGTGGCGAATATAATATAAATGAGGATAAAGATAAAACCAAATCCTCCAATACTTCCCCTGGCATTGACAACAACCGATATAATTTGTGTGAATCTCTTGTTGTATCCTAAAATCTCCAGAAGCTGGAGGGTCGACAAGAAAACAACGATCGCAAAGAATCCATTAAACACATTGTCCCAAATTACGATATGATTAAAATTGATAAATTCATCATTTATCTTTAAGCTTAATTTGTCGTCATAAAATTTCTTCATCGTCTCCTTGGCAAATGTAACTCTTACAATATACACTGCGACACAAGAAAAACTGAGGAAAATATTAAGTGTTGTTACCAAGTTCCACGGCTGTTTGAAGAAATTTAGGCAGCCATGTTTCTTCACTTTGTAAACAACGTTTATGGCCGTTATCACAAGGTATAATAGAAAAATGAAATAACATAAGATGGTAAAACTTCCAACCATATCTGCAGATACTATTGGGCGGAATGCTTGTGTCTCAGTCCACGTCAAAATCCCACCAGTCTCTATGAATTCTGCTAAATATATGGCGTGGATGAAGAGGTTTCTATTTGGATTATATAGGGTGAATTCCAAGAAAACAGCCCGAGTATTACGATCAATCCAGTTCTTTTCAACTATTTCCTTGACTAAATCTTCAGCACGATCATGACTTTTTGTAAAGCGGGTGATATATCCTCCTCCATCGTATGTCCCATATTCTCCTGATTTTGCTATTCCCCATATACTTTCAGCATCAGTGTATTTCCAAGCACCTGCCGTATAATATTTTTCAACTCTATTTGTATTCTCTTCACATTTTAAGTCATACAATTTCCACTCAGAGCAGTACTCGGAAGTATCTGCATGTTTATTGGAATATTCGTAAATGCAAGGATATGGCCATGTTATTCGTGTAAAGGGACATGAGGCGGCTGAAAAAGAATAATTTTCATTAATTCATAAAAATTGAGAAGTCAAATTAATCATTCGTAATTACTGAACCTTGATTAAAATAAGAGAACCAAGGCCCTCAACAGTCGCATGTATAGTATTCAACCTGATGAAGGATCCAAAGAGGTATTTAAATAAATCATAAAGGTGAATTTCTTAAAAACAAGATAAAAAACAAAGATATAAAAAAAAAGTTATTCCAGTACTTATAAACACTCATACAGATTATTTCTACCTAAACCAAAGTTCCCGAGTCATGTCCTAACAACAGAATTCCTGACCAAAGGGGCATATACTTCCAAACTTTGGAAGAGGCACATTTGCGCATCAAAAGCATGCAGTTGTTTTTTTCTGTTCAATTTCAAGAAGCAGAAAACACTTTTCAAAGTAATAATGCATTTTTCCTACATAATCAACAGAACCCATTTATAACACGAGAACCCCTTATCCAGGACATGAATTTCACAATCCTTGCTCATCATAACCATGCACTTAGTCCTCTGATGATAAATACACGGCGAAGAGTAGATACTTTCTAAAGAGTTGTTAGGACAATTTTGTCCTCTCCTAAATCCCTGAAGTCTTGATATTGGGGTCATAAATTTCACAGTTTTAGTAGAAGGACCAATGCTTATATCAGCCATGCCAAAAAGTTTGCAGCTTTCCAAAAAAAAAAAGAAGAAGAATTTGAGGATTACAATAATTTTGTTGGTTTAAGCCCAAATCCTCAGACCCCATGGATCATGTCTTTTTTTCAATTTTTGATCATCTATACTCATAGATAATACATGTATATGTAAAAATTGTTTCACATTGGATCAGTGATTCCAGAAAAGAAGCTGGAAATATTCCATAAAAATCTGGGAGGGGGGGGGGGGTAAAAATAAAATTGAAGCTTAAATAATATTTTTTAAGAAAACGTTTGTGATTAAGTTTTCAAACTAAATATTTACTCTCTTATGTTGCTTATCATCCGCATGTTTGTAATAAATAATATACATTCATTTTTTTTTGAGTACTTTTAAGATTGTTTTGTAAGACTTTATATCAATTTTAATTATTATTGGCTTGCCCCTCTCTGTTCTTAATTGACGAAGCTGAGCGGGTCCAATACGGAAACTTGCACTGTCCTTGAACATTTGCTTGTCTATCACCCCTAATTCATCGCCGGCATAGTTACTTAAGGGGTAAAACGTAGGTACAAATGTTTTATGCAGCCAATTGATGAAATCTTCTGTTCGATTTATCTGCAATTAAAACAAATTTGAACACTTTTTTTTCAAAATATTATCTAGGAGCTCAGTGGCAAACCACTCAAAGGCAAAAAGCGCTGTTTATTAAAAAAAAAACATCTTTCTCATTCAAAGCCGTTTTTTCATAAATGCTTTAAAATTATATTATTACCACTTCAACACCTTGAAAATAACCCGTTTAGTTTCAGTATGATTTCGTATTCTTTTTTACAGATCTTTATAAACCCCAATGCCATTTAATTGATAATGACCTCTAACAGTTATTGATTATCGTAATTTGGTGCTTTATCCTTATAATGATCAATGCAAAGGGTTCCAGGCGAGTGTAACCTGTCGAAAACCCTTTCACAAATTTGTTTGTTGATTTTTTTAGATCGATCACTTTCGTTTCCTTCATCCTTTTTATCCTTATTCCGCGACCAGGTCACCACACGGGCGACTGTTTTCATCATAATATGGAAATCAAGTTCGGACAACTGAACAAATGAAAGCATAAGAAATGATAAATGTTTACTTACAGAAGAAAATCCTAGTTGTCCATTGTCACTTGAATAAAGGTAGCTGTCGATGTTTGATTTATAGTGAAATGAATCTAAGTCCCTCTCCAAAAAACTTATGGAATAAAGTCCAAATAAATACACTGCAAATATTATTAATCTTATCAATGCTTTCTTCGCCCTCTTTTCCTCTTGTCTTTTGGCTTTCAGATTTTCAAGTTCGTCTTGGGTCAGTGGATCTCGTCCTCTCAGAATATTACTAGCAAATGCTTTAAATAACAAATTAAGCATTATTTTAACGAAGTGATACATTTATGCAACGTTCTAATGTTCATTTCAGCTTACAGTTTTGTTGTTTTTAGTTTACTAAATGTTTTACTCCGTTATTTAATTCTAAAAAGAAATACCTGCTAATCCATAGTTATCCGAGTTTCTATAAAGAGTTGAAATTTTTTTCAGTTGATCAATGTCCACTTCTGCTGATTTTTCGTAAATTATAGCTTTGAACACGGTGGCAAATAACACCGCAACAAATAAGACCTAAAATTGAGATAATTTCTGAAAAAGCACTTAAGATGTACGAACTGACGCTGTGTACAATAAAAATTCGAAAACATTCTACTCAAATTTGTCTTTAAAATGTGGTAACGTGGACTTTGATAAATGTTCCGACACAACAAATGAAAAGATATGAAGATTAAGCATTACTCTAGTACTGTGTACATAATTGGATTAAAATTCGCTATTTGAAATTTATGTACATGTATTGGAAAATTGTCATTCTTTTGTTGTTCTCCAAACTTCGAAACGGACTATTAAAGACTTCAGCAACGGACAATTTAAGATATAAACAGATAGATCACTAACAAAATGATATTTTAATATATGAATAAAAATGTCTGTAAATATAATGCCTTGAAATATAAAACAAATCAAGAAAGAAACGAAAGGTTTTTGCTTTATTTTTACCTTAATGGGGTCCACAAACAAAATTGATTCAAAAAAGGATAAGAAAAAGGACATTAGCCATTCTTCAGATCTGCCTTTACCCCATTCCATACTGTAAAGCAAGAGGAAGAAAGCAGAAACCAGAACTATCACCGATAGAAGTATCCAGGCAATGTAAAGTATCCAATATGGTAAGGACTTTTCGTGTTCTTTAATATATTCAGACGGAATTCTAAACGATTGAGGTGTAGTGGTCACTTTCTTGTCTTCTTTAGCTTCAGTTTGAGTTTTATTTGTCTTTAATCGTCGGTTTCGGAAAACAATTGTTAAAAATAAAATAGGAATTGTAGTCAAAATAATTCCGATCAAGGATACAAACAGTGCTGAAACTGACAGTCTAAATACACCAATCTGCACATAGTTGTAAGTCGCTTCTTCTCCGGCAGACTTGTAAAACATTGCATTGGAAATCATGCTTAGAAAAAGCAACGCAAGTACGCAGGATAACCTCTGTATCCGAGTAAATCTACTCTTTCTTGGCCGAAATAGAAGGGACAACCAGAGATGGTGATCGGTGATATTAAGTTGTGTTTGATGTGCAACCAGGGTTTTAAAGGCCATCAAAGTTTCCACTGTCGACACAGGAAGAATCCGTTCAATTAATCCATCTCCCTCATCTAGTGAGAGCCAATCATCACACAGGAATATAGACCTTAATAAAAATAAATCTTGTCACAGATCAAATTTAGTTTTTTCCTTATATATTCTTTTTTAACTGAACTATCTGTTAGGTTTCCTAAATTAAATTTCTGAAACGATTCACTAAAAGAATGAAGTTAACCCGTGCTATTGTACAACGGAAAAATATATAACTGAAGGAAACTGGACGCAAATCTTTAGTTTCCAACATGCTCTTTCTAAGTAATTTACAACAAAACTGATACTAGAACTAAATGTATAATTGTAATGTAATGTTTCTTAAAGTATTTCTTTGAATTTTGAATTTTGCTAATGATTGAAATGAAAAGGAAAATCTGCAAACTGTACCGCTCATTCGTTTGTAGATCATCTATTTCTATTTTACTTAAGAACCAGTCCTGGTACGACCCTTGGCCTGAACAGTCATGCCATATTCTGAAGTACTCGAGGTCACCTAAACTGTCTTTCGTCCCAAACACGAATGTAACAATACTTCCAGATTGAAACCCCTTAAATAGTTAATAAAAAATAAATTGTTCAGCATTGTTAAAAATACATGCAGTGATTTTATATCTATTAGTACAATGCTCTTAATATCTTGTGTTCTAAGTATTCATTATTGCAAAAAAGTATTAACACTTATACATTTTTTACCTTGAAGTTTTATATGGAACAAAAATTTTTTTTAACTTATAATTATTTACTTTTTACCTTTCTTTCTCCATCACTTAAGCTTCGTATTCCACTCTCGTCATCTGATCCACTCAGTACAAAATGAATATTAGAAGTGGTCCCTGCCCGGCGTCTCAGACCAGTATAAACAGTTATCATGTAGAAGTAACAGTCCTCGGAATCATGGTCACATAGAAAGGAAATCGCCCACTATAATTCACATTATATAATATTGAAACAACATACATATTCCTACCATCTTTAATTTATCTGCTTTTGAATTTTATGCATTTTTCAAATCAAGTATATCAAATTTCTGCATTAGCGGATTTTAACAGATCAATCAAAGTTCAAATTTAAATTAAAACTTTTAAGTGTACAAAAAACTTTAGAACCTTGGAAAACGTTCTATTTTATTTTTAAATAACAGTTTGTAAAACTATGTTGAATTATAAATCAATGTATTGAATGCATTTATCATATCAATAAAAAAAAAACTAAAAACATTTCACCCGTTCAATATCTTTCTTATCTTCTCGTCTTAGAATTACAGCCAATATAAGATAGACAACTAGAACTGCGATCATGGTGCCATAAACCGAAGCATTTGCTGCATCAAACTTTCCCCAAACTTTATACAAGTCTATCATGTTGAGTGGAACGTAGAAGGTTGTTGAAAATATATGCCCAGTACAGCGGCATATTGTTTCTCCCATCGTTGTCATTGAAAGAACCTTTAAAATAGTTTTGTTTATAATAATGAAGAATAATTAGCTGCATTTGCAAACGTTTTACTCTGTGAAAAACCTTCTTGTAGAAGAATAGCTTGATTGCGTGGACTCTGAGGTCTACACAGAAAATATATAAGCAAGGTTAAACCGGATGCCATGAGCATACGTCAGTCTACACATGCGCGAGAATGCTAGGGAGTTTGCCCTTAAGACAACTTGCTCGTCGAATAACTCGCTCTTTTCAAATTAGAACATGGCATTCATTGGCAAGCTCGCTTTTAAATTTGCATATTATATTTAATATATTAATTGGCGGATCCAACTTTCTATTTTATGACATATACTTTCACAAACTAAACCTTGATTCTATGACACAAGCATTTTAAAAGTAGGAAGAACTAGGAAGAAGGAAGTATATAGATAACTTCACTTAACCTAGGAATATTCTTAAGAATTAAATTTCGGTTAGAAACACATGCATATTATCAAGGTATTGCAGTCCTTTTTTAAAGGACGGCAACTTTTATCAAGTATACTTTTGTTATAGTCAGTATTGTATAGTTAATAAGTGTTTTAAATAGTGTAGATAATATTTATTTCAGGTTTAAACTGTTGACATTAATAAAAAATATGATCAAATTATTTGTGTTCTGGTTATTAATATTATCTGGTAAGTTTTATAAGATTTGCATTTATTTAGAGAATAAGTTATTTATAGCTACAGACGACCTCGGACTGTATGACCTTGAATTCTATTGTTCATTGCACCGCAGATAGTTCGATTAGGGTTACCTGGTTTGGCGGGTTTCTCACTTTCCCGGTGGCACAAGCTCGTGCTACATGTATACGTAGTTGCCTGGGCAGGGTCAGCTATAGCTTTGAAATATTTAATTAACCTATTTATTATGCCGTTACCTACTGGAATTTGAAGGTAATTATTCTTTTAGTTTATTGTAGGTATATTTTTTAAAAAGTATTTATTTACGTAATTTTGTTATTTTCATTACTTAGGAGTTTGAGAACTAGCGTAATTGTATTGTGTGCACACTGAGTTAATTGATTAATTGTACTCAGATAATTTAAGTATGTTTTCAATGATTTATCATTTATTAAAGATTTCAAGAGTAATGTATAAGAGAAAGTCAATTTTCATGGTTCTGAACAAATTCTAAAATCTATCGTAAAATTAAATAGACCCTACGTTTTATATACAGGATACTGCCCTACTATTGCCATTATGGCTGTATACTAGAAGTGTATTTGGTAAAACCTTTACACCTCATGTGAGGTAAGATTGATTGTGTGTATTTGTTTATTTTGTCTTTATGTATGTTCTGCATGTTTCATGTTGTGGACATACTATTTTCTTTTATGTTTATTTTATTTGCATTTTGTTTCCTTTCATATCGTTGTTGAGAAATTGTATATTATTTATTATCAAAGATGATCAGAAATAACTATATTTTCACAATTAAGAAGTTAAATTATTTTATAATGGATAATTGTAAACAGCAGCAAGTAAATTGTAAAGTAAAGTGATTTTTGGCTAAAGATTACGGTATAAGTATTGCATTTTATTTTGTTATTAAGATCTTCCGTTTCCAACGGAAGACCTTATTGTTTTCGTTCGGTTTCTTTTTCCCTATTATTATTCTTTTTTTTCTTACCGATTTTGTGCACGCGAGTTCTCTGTAACGACGCTTCCTCGGCTTCGTAGGCTATTACAGAAGATTCATCAAGAAGTTCAGCCAGATCAGTAGACCTATGACCGAGTTAAGGACAGTTCCAACCGGGAAAAAGACTAAAGCCATCAAGAAGAAGAAAGGCTGGCATTGGGGTGAAGAGCAGGAGAAGTCATTTGAAACCCTGAAGAAGTTCCTGACATCTGCACCAATACTGGGGTAAGCCAACTCAAAACTCCCATTTGAAATTCATGTGGATGCGTCTGGAAGTGGACTAGGTGCCGTCCTATATCAGGAGCAGGACCACACGAAGAGAGTAATCAGATACGCTAGTAGGGGACTTACAAAAGCCAAAAAGAACTATAAGCTCCACAAATTGGAGTTTCTGGCATTAAAGTGGGCTATGACGGAAAAATTTAGGGACTACTCGTTTGGACAGCAGTTCACCGTTTGGACCGACAATAATCCGCTAACATACGGTCTAACTACAGCCGAACTGGACGCCACTGGTCATCGCTGGCTATCCAACCTTTCCAGTTTTAACTTTCACATCAAATATCGACCAGGAAGAAACAATGCGGATGCAGATGGATTGAGTCGTATACCCACCACAGATTGGTCAGAGATTAGTGGAGAATCCATCAGAGCCATATGTAGCAGTGCCATTGGAGAGATACCATACTGTAAAACAACTTTTATTCGCGACTTTATTTCGCGATTTACCAGGGGTAAACTAGTTGGCGACGATTAATTTTCGCGATCAAACCTTTTTTGATCTGTATAGACAGAGACTTTAAGTTCTGGTTCGCGGCGAGAAATATTCGCGATGACGAGACTGTCGCAAACTTCGCGAAAATTTCTCGCACGCGAATAAAAGTTGGTATACAGTATATTGAGTGTCTGGCCATTTCCCCACGAGTGGTGAGAAATCTTGAAGATTTTGATGCACAAGATGGAACACCAACGACAGATCTCATCAACTGGAGAAGAGCTCAACATCAGGATAAGGTCATTGAGGACTGGATCAAGGCAGTGAGGAGTGGAGAGAAACGCATTGCGGCGACAGTATAACCATCTCCGCCTTATCGATGATGTTCTATATAGGATTATTAACAGTGATGGAGAATCAAAGAAACAACTTGTACTTCCCTTAGCTTTGGTGCCAGATATAATCCAATCATTCCACAATGATGTTGGTCATTAGGGCAAATATAGGACACTCTCACTTCTGCGAGACCGCTTCTATTGGCCAGGGATGGCGAAGGATGTTGAAGAGTGGATTAGCCAATGTGGAAGATGTTTAAGACGGAAATCATTGACAAAGCACAGAGCACCACTGGTAAGTTTAAAAACTTCAGCACCGTTGGAACTGGTCTGCATTGACTACCTAACCCCCGAACCATCCAAGGGAGGCAGCAGAACATCTTAGTCATTAAAACCGTTTCACTCGATTTGCCCAGGCTATTCCAACCAGAAATCAAACGGCTAGAACAACAGCTGAAAAGCTTTACAACAATTTCATAGTACAGTATGGACTACCGGAGAGAATACATTCAGACCAGGGAGCCAACTTTGAGTCGAAGATAATTAAGGAACTATGTGAACTAACAGGTACCAAGAAATCCCGCACTACATCATACCATCCATAAGGCAACGGGATGTGTGAGAGATTTAACTTCACTCTATTAAGTACGTTGGGAACCCTGGATATTGAACAAAAGAAAAACTGGAAAAGATATGTAGTTCCTCTCGTGTATTTTTATAACAGCACAAATCACGACTCAACAGGATATTCCCCTTACATGCTGATGTTCGGTAGAGATCCAAGACAACTACCTGGATTAAGGAAGCAGGCCAAGGTAACCGACTATATCAGCGATCTAAGAGAAAAGCTGGAATATGCACATCAGAAGGCTGCAGAATTATCATCAAGATCTCAAGAAAAGCAGAAAGAGGAGTATGACGTCAAAGCAAAAGGAGCCACCTTACATAAAGGAGATAGAGTCTTAGTGAAGATCAATGCTTTCGACGGCAAACACAAATTGGCAGATAAATGGGAGCAAGAAGTTATATCATCAAAGAACAACCAAATCCAGATATCCCTGTGAAACATCACAACAGGAATAACAAGATTTATCCCGCTTCAGACAAATTTGCCGATTACTGGATAAAAGCTAATCACGTGACGCCCTGAAATTTTCCGCATAACGTCTCCGTTAAGGCGTAATATGAAAATCGGGCACGCGATTCCGTTCCAAGCGTTGTTATTGTAAATAAAAATGGCGGCTAAGAAACGGTTTGCGTAGGTAGTTTTTATCTATGTGCATAGATTTTTTTAGCTCACCTGAGCCGAAGGCTCAAGTGAGCTTTTCTGATCACATTTTGTCCGGCGTCCGTCTGTCTGTCTAGCTGTCTGTCCGTCTGTCAGTTTGTCAACTTTTCACATTTTTGACTTCTTCTCAAGAACCGCTGGGCCAATTTCAACCAAACTTGCCACAAAGCATCCTTGGATAAAGGGGATTCAATTTTGTTCAAATGAAGGGCCACGCCCTCATTCAAGGGGAGATGATTGCAAATTAATGAAAATTTAGTGGTATGTTTTAAAAATCTTCTTCTCAAGAACCACTATGCCAGGAAAGATGAAACTTATGGGGAAACATCCTCAGGTAGTGTAGATTTAAGTTTGTTAAAATCATGACCCCGGGGGTAGGGCGAGGCCATAATGGCCGACCAATTAAAGTTTTACATAGAAATATATAGAAAAAATTCTTTAAAAATCTTCTTCTCAAGAATAACAAAGCCATAATTGATCATATTTAAATGGAAGCATCCTCAGGCAGTGTAGATTCAAGTTTGTTCAAATCATGACCCCTGGGGGCAGGGCGGGGTCACAATGGCCAAACAAAGTTTTATATAGAAATATATAGGAAAATTCTTTAAAATCTTCTTCTCAAGAATAACAAAGCCATAATTGATCATATTTATATGGAAGGATCCTCAGGTAGTGTAGATTCAAATTTGTTCAAATCATGACCCCTGGGGGTAGGGCGGGGCTACAATTGCCAAACAAAGTTTTACATAGAAATATATAGGAAAATTCTTTAAAAATCTTCTTCTCAAGAATAGCAAAGCCATAATTGATCATATCTATATGGAAGCATCCTCAGGTAGTGTAGATTCAAGTTTGTTCAAATCATTTCCCCGGGGGTAGGGCAGGGCCACAATGGCCAACCAAAGTTTTACATAGAAATATATAGGGAAATTCTTTACAAATCATCTTCTCAAGAATAGCAAAGCAATGATTGGTCATGAGACTACTTTTGGATTTAAACTTTTCAATAATAAACCAATTTCTACTTTTTCCTAGCCACAGTGCTCAGGTGAGCGATGTGGCCCATGGGCCTCTTGTTTTAAATATTTTAAAATTAACGTTGGGTCTTCAGCGGGATAAATTCGTAACACAGTCAGTTAGTGACCTAATACGGAATCATACAGGGCGTGAAATGGAAATCCGTATTGGGACTCGGCTTCGCCTCGCCCAGTACGGATTTCCATTTCACACCCTGTATGATTCCGTATTTGGTCACTAACTGACTGTGTAACTAATAGTACATATTGTACAAGATATGGCTGAGGATGCTGAGCCTGTAGGGGCCCCATCCCAGGCAACAGTTGTTGACGGGACAGACGACTCAGAAAGTAGAGAATCTCAGGTAAGTGGTGATATCGAAGGTGATACACAGGAGAATGAACCTGAGAGTCAGTCATCACCTTCAATATCACCACCAGAAGTTCGACGGTCTACCAGGCTGAGGAAACAACCAGCGTGGATTGGTTCAAAGGAGTTTGAATTTATTCAAAGCGTGAATGTGCAGGATATAGACTGGTTTCAGAAGATCCAATGCATTACCTTTCTATCAAAAACGATACTTTTCCAGAACCTGCAAGCAGACGCTGCCAAAGTTATCCTAGACATTTTAAAAACTCCCAATGACAAATGACGGGACGTCATTTCTCAGATGGGGGAGTGTGTAGTTAGTATTGTATAGTTAATAAGTGTTTTTAGACAGTGTATGTAATATTTACTTCAGGTTTAAACTGTTGACATTAATAAAAAAAAATATGATCAAATTATTTGTGTTCTGGTTATTAATATTATCTGGTAAGTTTTATAAGATTTGCATTTATTTAGAGAATAAGTTATTTATAGCTACAGACGACCTCGGGGTGTATGACCTTGAATTCTATGGTTCATTGCACCGCAGGTAGTTCGATTTGGGTTGCCTGGTTTGGCGGGTTTCTCACTTTCCCGGTGGCACAAGCTCGTGCTACATGTGTACGTAGTTGCCTGGGCAGGGTCAGCTAAAGCTTTGAAATATTTGATTAACCTATTTATTATGCCGATATCTACTGGAATTTGAAGGCAATTATTCTTTTAGTTTAATGTAGGTGTATTTTTTAAAACGTATTATTTACGTAATTTTGTTATTTTCATTACTTAGGAGTTTGAGAACTAGCGTAATTGTATTGTGTGCATACTGAGTTAACTGATTAATTGTACTCAGATAATTTAAGTATGTTTTCAATGATTTATCATTTATTAAAGATTTCTAGAGTAATATATAAGAGAAAGTCAATTTTCATGGTTCTGAACAAATTCTAAAATCTATCGTAAAATTAAATAGACCCTACGTTTTATATACAGGATACTGCCCTACTATTACCATTATGGCTGTATACTAGAAGTGTATTTGGTAAAACCTTTACATCTCATGTGAGGTAAGATTGATTGTGTGTATTTGTTTATTTTGTCTTTATGTATGTTCTGCATGTTTCATGTTGTGGATATACTATTTTCTTTTATGTTTATTTTATTTGCATTTTGTTTCCTTTCATTTCGTTGTTGAGAAATTGTATATTATTTATTATCAAAGATGATCAGAAATAACTATATTTTCACAACTAAGAAGTTAAATGATTTTATAATGGATAATTGTAAACAGCAGCAAGTAAATTGTAAAGTAAAGTGATTTTTGGCTAAAGATTACGGTATAGGTATTGCATTTTATTTTGTTATTAATTTGACTATTTTATTCACAGGGTTTTCATGTACAATTAATTGAATAAACCTATCTTCATCCAAAATACGGACACATCTCTTCCATACACCGGATACCCGGTTACACTTTTCATGAATAAATGAATAGACAAGACCTTACTTGTTTGATGGGTTTTGGTTAATCACAGCTGAATCAATGAAAATACTGAAAACAACGGCTTTTGTTTTTACTATGAAAAATTTCTTTCAATTATAAAATAATATAACGTTGAACATATTATTATACAGAATTGCTCATTTGAAACATTGTATGTGATTTATACTGTATATCGGTGTAAAATATTAACCTACTGACATCAATATTTGTAGGTAGGCAAGAATTTTTCTTCCAGGACTAAATTTCGTACCTTTCCGAATGAATTCTGATTGAATATGTTGAGTATTACGACTATCAATTTGGTTTTACACTTCCTGGTTAGTTTCTATTAGATTCAATTTAATTCATGGAATTCCTTGTTTGTATAAATCATATTCATAATGGTCAAACTTGAATGAATTTTTTAAACGTTCAAAATTCGAACGGACAGTCGGTGTGTCTTTATTTGAACCTTAATGAACTACTTATAAATTATCCATCTTAGATCGGTTTAATTAATAAATGGGACTTATTCGGGGACTGTAGTAAAACTTGTTTTATCTGGACACTACTGGTTTCAAAGAAATTGTCTGAATTAGACAACATTCCAGATTATACAACATTTTCAACAATTAAAGTTACTAAAAGGGTCTTAAAGGGTCATGTTAGGCAGGATTTGGGAATATAAAACATCTGGATTAGACAGGTATCACTGTATATTCATTGGTTTCCGATAATTCTTCTGCTGGTTCTACTATTAGAAAAGTATTTCAGAGGTGAGGTTGGTGGTTATGAGGGTTTCACTCGTTTTCAATTGTTCACATTCACTTTGGCATATTTTCATATGAATACTAGTGACCATATATGATATTAAAGAATTAATTTTCTTTTTTTTTAATTATAGGATACCTGGCAGCGATTTGACTCCCATGTATTCGATATTTTGTCCCAAGCCCTACATGCTGTGGTTATGACCTGTAATGTGAAGTTAGCAACTGCAGGGTCAATCGTGCTGTTCTTACTGTAGATTGACTGATTTGAGGACAAGGCATGGACAGCCTCTCTCTTCGGTCGGGAAGACATAGTTTCATGAGACAGATCCTCTGGTTCTTCTTCTGAACAGCCAAAAAATTCTTGTTTTTAATTAAGAGGACATAAATGTACAAGTCAACACAAAGGTTAAGCCATAAGTTTTATAGATTACTAGTTTTACTTGATGAATGGCGTTTTACCTTTCAGAGGTTTGATTCCCATATAGCAGACACCTTTTGGACAATAGCCGTTAGGAACAAATATTTTATATCCTAGATCAGTGTCCCAATTTCTGACAGAGGTAATGGTTTTATAATCTCGGCCAGACTTGAATGAAGCAGTGGTTGGAAAAGCTTTTGGCGATATGAACAGAATATACAAGGGCCTTTCTGAAGAAATTTCTTCCAGGAGGTGAGGTTTTAAGTAAATAAGGATTGCGTCATCATTATTCATTACGTCAAAGTAAAAATGAGTTATCAACTCGCCTATACTCGAACTGTATAAAGGACTAAAATCGTAAGGCTGGGGTTTCCCTCGATTACGTAATTTGACATCCATCACAGTTTCATCTCCAAAATCGTACACGAACACGTCCGATGTCAGACTGCTAGCGTTTTCCCCGAATATCAAAGGATTTTTCCCAAAGACAATGATCTGAAATTTACAATTTCTTATATATCAGATACCTTGAGGCAAAAAGTCTAGATAACAGACAAAAATATCCTCAAAGCTTTTTATTAAAAAATACACCCTCTGTGTTTGGTTTAACTTTTATTATGTAAAATTGATTTAAGAATTTTCAACAAAAACTTTCTGCTTTCTTACATTGACCTTTTTTTTTTGCACAGTCAAAATCTCCAAGAAGAAAACTTACCTTTACGTCCACAATGGAATTTGGACTTGACGAACTGTTCTCATGTGTTATACCAATGATATACTTTTGAAGGTTAGTATTATTCGCGTTAGCTTTTTTAAATTCAGTATAAGTTGTCTTTTGGACAATAAGCTTAAGGTCTGGCTGGTGAAACTCCATCTTTTCCCCGGTGACAAGTGTACTAAGTAACGTAGCTTGTACATTTGTCAACATAGCCTGTATTCTTTTATAATACGCTTCTGACTAAAAAAAAAAAAGGAAAACCTTGGGTAAATTAAATGTGAAGCGAAAAAATGTATTTAAAGCGCAAAGATGTAATTAAAGTAGCAGGTATTCTGTAATCATTAGCAAAGAGAAAGAGGGATAATCAAAATTCAAAGCCGCATGATTAATGCACTTATTAGTCGACTAGTTTGAATTTGTAAATTCGTAGCAAGCTTATATGGCGATACCTTTGAAATATATTTTATTCTTGTCAGTGACAACAGCAAAAACGTAGTATATTAATTTCGGTGACATAGACTCAACATCAATAACTTTGCTAGAACAGAAATGTAAAGCTAACAAATGCTCACTTATAAATTAATATATGTACCCGGAGCGGTGGAAATCATTGATTTCTAGTTTATACCGTTAAAGATGGGAATTTTGCATTACCTTTCGCAGTCTCGCTCTTAAGAAACTTTAAAATATTTTGAAATATTGCTTTGTAAGACAAATTTGGCTAGGTGTGTAAACTTTTATAGTATTGTAATAATAGCATAAAAGTTTATAGTATTAACTCGCGAACCCAAACTTAAGGAAGTCAAAATATTTGGCAAAACATCCACAATACGGGATTCTTTTCATCTCCATCAACGATCTCGACAGCGTCGCATTCAACATTAACATCAGACTTTGGCATTTACAATCAACTACGAGATATTGAGCTAAAACCCTATTCATTCTTTTTTATTTAAAGAGGCAATACTTTCAACAATGGCCTCAAAAGTATCAGACCAACTAAGAAAGACCCAATCAATGCTGACAAGTAGTTTAGCATTGCTACGTATCCAGATTTTTACTGCAAAGCTTGATGTAAGAGTCAGAATGTATAGGCTTTGTAATGAAGATTAATAGCTGGTATTGGTACATGTACATGTAGTTATAAAGTTCATTGTAGTATTCTATACAGGTAAGATTCAATTGATTCCTACTAAATGGAATTTAATGGTATAGTGATAAATTAATATTTCCATTTCTATTGTTTTTCTCTGTAAAAACTCTTTGAAAGTTAGCGGAGTTGATTTCTTGATTATTCTGCCGGAATGTAAATTATGCAGGTCGATAGGTCAGGACCTAAGGAGACCTAATATGCATGCAAATCACATGCTCATCTCTGTGTCTGACGCTAAGGAGGCCAAATGTGCATGTAAATCTCGTCGACTGCCTTTGCGTTTGACTCCAGTGGCCGAGGACTATTGAAATTGCCATGGGGGTCCTTGTGGGATTAAAATCTATGTCTACATGTTCAAAGTTTAAATCTACCATTTCACAATGAAATGGAAATATAAGGAATCACTGTGTAGTTAGTATAGTATGCTAGCGACATCAATGGTAATAGGAAATATAGGATAATTTATTATAACTTATAATTTAAATTATCCAGTGTTTCCCACTATCGTTGATACCCTGGCATACTATACTAACTAGACAGTGACTCCTTAAATACACATGGTCAAATACGGTATATCTAATAAGTGCCATCATGCAAAATCACGACATCCAGCTTTGCCTTGGCCATCTATATCGTCTGATGAAAACGCCACTGAATTAGCTTGTATGGGAAAAATTGATATTGGTATCCTTCAATGACAACAACAACCCTAAACTTGTTGTTATAAATTTTTGTGGATGGCATACCAGTGATTCGTTTAACACTGAGCTTTTAAATGTGAAAATTTTTAGTCATTATGACCTTATAACTTGTAATTTATTATCTATTATGTTTTTTTTCTGCATTATCCATTACGTTTTTTTCCTGTTATCAATAAACCGTTTTTATTATTGAAAATTTTGTCATATAATATCACTTAATTTTTACTGTATGCTTCTTTCTTTTAACAATATATAAGGCTGAACTTAAAAAAAATGCCAATGAGAATTTTTGCTCAAACACGATTAATAAAATACAGCAGCCCATCAGGAGAATAAAAATGTTATTGAGTAGACAGTTACGGTAACTAGCACCTACCATATTTATTTGTTTGGATTGTATCTCTCTCTCGTGCTGTCTCAGCTGCAGGATAAGGTAACTCTTTCGTATGAGGTCGTTCAGCTCCCTTTCTGTTAAATTTCTGTTGATTAGCTCAAATTGTCTATCAGATCGTGACTTCTTTGTTTTTAGTTCATTCAAAATATTTTCTGGAGATAGCTCTTCGCTGAAATCCTGAAGATTCTCTGGTAGCATGACATCGATAATGATGTTGACAACTCGTACAATATCTTCATTAATAGCATAGTAGAAAAAAGACTCAAGTCACGCTATAAAGTATGCATTCTAAGAGAACCATTTTTAACCAAAATAAATATACATAGAATTCTTATTTTTTTTAACTCCCAAAACTAACCCAAGGCAAGTATTTTAATAAATAAAATGTCAGGTAATAGAATATACAAATAAACATGTAATTCAACATTAATTTAAAAACATTCTTCGTTTTGAAATCAAATACATGTAAAAGGCTTGTTATAGACAACATTTAAATAAAATTTTGAATTATGAATTAAAGTAGCTACAGAACTGTAGCTCTCCAAATATAATATATTGACAGAACGGAGAGCTACACGTACAAAGTGTATATTTATTGCGCACGAAAAAGTGCGCTGTTTCTTGATTTATTTCTCCGTGTTTTTCAAACTGCCATCTCAAAATATTACTTTCTGTGTGTTTCTAACTTATTCTATAGCTATTTTCAAACAAAAAAACATTCCTTATAACCGTTGTAAATAGTCATACTACTTTCTGCCTGGAATTGAAACTATAGAAATTTTACCTATCTAAATTCCATTTCGGACGCCAATTCAATTCAGCGCACTTCATGCAGATTTCAATTATGAGAGTACTTGAATGTGATCATCGGGATATTATGAAATCGAACTTTTGTACGGTTGAGGTAAGAAATAAGAGAAATTATTCCAAGATCGAGCACAACCTTTTGCACGCAATAAATGTACAGTTTTTTTTTCTATTGGTGACACTGTAGCTCTCTTGTAATTTATCTGAATTTTTCAGACCAGTGAACTACAGCTAGAATAAAAAAAGACAAGGGACATTTTTGTCGAGTCCATTTCTTTGAATGCGTGTTGACTTCTGATTTAGTATTTCTGCAACTTGAATATCAGAAATACATGTATAAGTCGGAATATAAATGTGACAGAATATACAACATTTATAATTACAACAAAATTTGCCTTACGTTTTACGATTTCTTCCATTGTATGAACGTAGAAATTTGGAAAAGGAATTTCCGTTTCATTAATGCGGATTGTAAAGCACTCTATCATATTTTCAACTAGTACGATCATTTTTTCCTGAAAGCAAGAGCTACATGTAATAATGGCATCATGCAATGGACTTTTTGTAAATGTTTAATTTAAGGACGAACAGTTCAATAATAATATTATAGCATGCTTAACGTTTAGAGAAATCATACATTTTGCAATACAACTTTTTAAAATTAAGTTCTAGAACTTACAAGACTTTGAATTGACAGATATGATGGATTTCTAACAACTGCATCAATTGAACTAAAGATCTGGTGGATGTCTGTCAGGCTAAATTTTTCATACGTCCACTTAGAGCAAGTTTTGCCTTCCTCCGATAATATTACAATCATCTGATGAATAATCTGAAAAAAAAATTGAATTGTGTTTACATGAAATTAAACATTGTCTTAAAACATTAGTATGAAGTATAGACAATGATGCTTTCATATGAAATCAGTTAGGAGTAAAGATAGAAAACAAACTAAAGATTTTCGTTAATCTAGTTCATTTAAATCTTAAAGACTGCATTTGTAAACAGGTACTTTTCTAAATAAAAGTGAGGCTATGATAGCAGTGTTCACGTCTTTCATCATATCTCTCTCTCTCTCTCTCTCTCTCTCTCTCTCTCTCTCTCTCTCTCTCTCTCTCTCTCTCCAAGAAAATCATTTATTTTAAAAACCATGTGAACATACAGACTAGATGATAATAAAATAACAAATAATATATATCTCTCTCTATTTCTCTCCAATTTCCTTTACAGATGAAACCACTGAAATTAGTAGAAAAAGATTAAGTAATAAAACTGCAGGTTCGAATAGCTTGTTAAATTTAAAGCTAGTTTAGGTTAAATTTTTTAATTGTTTCTCCATTTGTGTGTAGTAGCTTGTTTTTTTTTAAACTACTCAAATATTTTTGGCACATCTTATAACCTATAAATGTTTACTTGTAAACAGTTGTTTCTAATGGTCCTTAATTATTAATTTAAAATTGCCATCTTAAAACAGTATCAAAGTACATTAATTAAAGAAAATATTGCATTGCATCTTCATCCTTTTTATGCATATTTTGCAGTAAGAAATAGGAAACACGAAATACCAATAATATCAAAATTTCAATTGATCTACAAAAATGTAATACTATTCATTATGATGCACCTTTCATTTTTTTTTTTCATCGTCTTAGAAATATCGCTATATTGCATATACAAATGTTGACTGACTTCTTTATACTGATTGTGAGGGTATTATTTACACATATCGTGTTTTCAAACCTTTATCAGCAAATAAGTTGACGAAGCAAGGATATCAACAGTCTCATTAATGGTAATCTAACAACTAAGCTATATGATAAACGTGATGACTTTAACTTTTCTATCGTCAACTTCCCTTACTTATTATAGGATTAAACGTTCTTTTTGAAAAATTTATCGATGTGTAAACTCTTGACATTTTACTCACAAACTAAATAAAAGTGCGAAGCACTTTTATGTTAAGTTTGTGAGTAAAATGTCAAGAGTTTACACATCGATAAATTTTTCAAAAAGAACGTTTAATTCTTATAATTCCAATATCGAATTTTTAAAAATATTTAAATTATTTCTCTTTGAGGCCTCCATACAATCCGTTATTTCTGGACGGCGTAGGAATACATTAAATACCGTAAAGGAACGTAATCGAGATGAATTTCGATAGAGTTCAACTTAAATTGTCAAAACAATCGATAAATAAACTTATAACAACTAATCGAATGTTGTTTAAGTCAACAAATATCGTAATTACGAGTTTACTTCAGAATAGTTCGTCTTTGACCATGGCCATGTTGACATAAACAACAACTCTCATAGCGAAAGTGAGCAGACCGACGACGCCTTCAATTTTCACTTGTTTATTCAAATATTGAGGAACAATATAGAAAGTAAATATGAATTTGATGCTAATAGGGCAAGAGTTTGAGGTACGTTTCTTTTCCCTGTCAAAACGATACAGACTGAGCTTATTTTCTACGTATGAACGTTGAAACAGCGATTTTTAAAATTCACACTCGTGATCGGACAGTGACATAAACATTTTCACGGCGTCCATCAGTTAGGCAGTCTAGTATGTTGCCAGTTTTGTTTAAGCCCTAATTAAATTTAAAGTTTCTTGTATTCATTATTTAGCCAGAACAGACCCAGAAATAACTGCTTTCATTGTTTATACGATAACCTAGTAGTGTCATCAAGAAAGTAGTTCTGATTGAAAGAATTTATCGATGTGTAAAAATTTTCTGGAACGTGTTCTCGTCCAATCAAAACACAGGAAATCAATAGATAAAATGAAGATTGGAATTATGCAGCAATATACCTTCATCACCTACAAACGGAGTATATATATCTTAGTTGATTCGATACGCAAGAGCTTGCTCTACGTATGAACAATTTCTAAAACGAGGTAAATTGTTGACAAGCAAGTTGATGAAACAAGAACAACAGTCTCGTTTAAAGTCATCATTTTGTAAATTCTATGGTCGATACAATGACCTTGTCAGCAAATACAATTTATCATTGAGTCAAATGCTGACTGACATTTTTCATACTAATTGTTAGTCCATTATTTATACACTGAATTGACGACGGATTTTCCGTTATTTCCTGATCATGACAAGGAGCACACGGCGGGTGTCACCGGTCAGCAGGGGATGCTCACTCCTCCATGGCACCTGATCCCACCTCTTATGTTTTGGAGGTCCTTGTTTGCTCTGCTCCTATTTTTTTAAATTGTTTTAGGGACTTTGAGATTGAATGCTGTTCGTTATCTCTATATCTTTCTTACAGTCATATTTTAGTAAGTTCAATGTTCGGTACAATAACCTTGTCAGCAAATACAATTTTTTCATTAAGTCAAATGGTGACTGACTTCTTTATACTGATTGTTAGGACATTACAATGAGCTGTCCATGGATCTTTTTTCGATATGTCCCGATCAAAATAAAGAACAAACGGCAGGTGTTACCGGTCGGCATGGGATGCTCACTCATCCGTGGCACCTGATCCCATCTCATATGTTTTGGAGGTCTGTGTTTGCTTCGCTCCTATTTTTCTAACGTTAAATAGACTTTTGAGTTTGAATACTGCTCGTTGTTTCCATATATTTCATCGATTAAATTTTAATGTTAATTATACCTTAAACAGTAAATTTATACAATAATGCAGTGAGGAAAATCTCCTGAACACATTCATTTTGAATAAACTGAAAATACTTGCTTCTTTGTATAATTTCTCAATGTCGGAATCTTCGTAGAAAGTCACTGTTGTTTTTGTTCCATCCAGGATCTCCTTTTCAGTTGTGACAGAAATATTCTATTTTTTTAGAAAATAAACATGAAAACATACATAAATCGTTAATTACAATACAGAAAAAAAATTTTGAATGTCTTCGAATTAAAACAAAAATACCGTTTTTTTACGTTCTTGTATTTTGCTATTTCTAAACATTTTCCATAAAAAGGGAAATTCCCTTTTGCTTAACTTTTACTGAGCCCGGTTATATCTGAACGAGTGAAATGTGTCATATAAAACAATGTATCAGAAGTACTAGTACATATGATGAACTGTTTCAAAGCTAAAAATAAGCACTCTATTAGCAGTCAACATTAAAAGTAGCTTTGTTAAAAATACAAAAAAAATTAATAAAAAAAAACATACCAAAAAGAATCATACTTAAATCTAATTAATAAATTCTTACCCCCTTGTAAGGTAGTAAGGAGGAAGCTATTGAGCCAATGTAACGAAATGTCCGGATGACATCGCCTCCTCTTCTAATGAACCCAACCGTCTTGTTAAATTCTTTATAAAGGTTTAGAACTGGTTCTTTGTCATGACCCCCATTGGGAAGGAATTTAGTTGGTGTTGAAATAGACTGTTGTGTTATAAAAGAAAAAAATAGAGATATATATTGTCTTGTTGAAGAGAAAATTTTGCAATAACCTTACACATGCAAGGATAAAATTTGTTATGGATCCGTTTCTCAGTGGTAGAAAAGAAAAAGAAAACTTACGAATGTTTTCCCAAATACTTTAAAATGATCATCATATTCATTGTATGCTTTGATGCGAAGTGTAACGCTATTATTATAGTTATGATGTCCAACTTGGATCGGAGTCTCAAAAATGGAACCCTCGTCTGGAATAGAATTGCTTATATGATATCAAATAAAACAGGTAGAAATTCTCGGCGCCATCAAAAGTACAACTCTTGTCATTTTTATCATTTTAAAAAAAATCAATATGAATTTTTTAAGCATTTAGTTATCAACATTTTAACCAAGCAGCTACATATTTAAATTTCTAACTATACTTGTCTGACCCTTGAAGCAAAAAAAAATCTTAGTCAACATAAAATGAATGATCATCTTTATAATATTTGTATTCTTACTTACATCCTTTGTACAGATAATTTACAATGTCCTCGATGTCTCCATATGTAGATTTCCTCTTGGTGATTGTTTCAAATAGGTAAGCCAACACAGGATATGTGTCAGATTTCCGATTCGTACAAATAGCACTAATTGCAAGTTTATCTAGATTTAGATGGATTAAGTAAAATTATCATAACACTTATTTTTAATTCATTAGTATAGTTCAACAATTTTACATATTTGTATCTATTTCTGTACAGGAGCAATTATTTTCAAATTTCAACAGAATCAGCAAAATTTCAGATTACTAGGTGTAATCTAGATAAAAGATAAGTAGAATTGTTTATGGTTATATGGCCATTTTGGAAGACTTGGGTTTAACACAATAAACACATGTTAGGAAAATTAAAAACATTTCAGAAGGAAGAAACCGCCAAATTTGTATTAAAACCATATATAGTAAAGAGAATTGTTTAGTAAAATAAGTATAAAGGTGAAAAATCTGTCAAAGTTAACGACATGATAAAGGTCTTGCAACAATGTGTCACATGTATTACATTACTTAAATATGAAACAGAAGTGGACATCACTCTGATGTCTTCCATTTTCAGTTTAAACATATTTTTTACGTTCAAGGTAATTTTTTAATAAAACAAACTTACAAAAATAATACACAAATCATACAACTATTACAGCTTCATTTTTGAGTTTTAAAAGAATTTGTTAAACACATGACACATAAAATAAACAGAATGATACTAGTATGCTGGTTCAAGGTTCTAAAATATCAATCAATAGCAATAAAAATTATTGCTGTACATTACAAGAAATATTTCTATCACTGACACAAAATTGTCAAAATTTGGATAATTTAGTTTGAAAGATACCGGCATTCTAATTTACAAAGTTTTTATTTACCTTTAGAATATACTGCAGTACATGTTACGCTTGGAATGATTCGATATTCCGTGGTTTTAAAAGGCATGGTCAAGTTATGGTTACCAGTCTCATTTTCCTTGGCAGCTGTCAGAACAAGCAAATAGTTTTTGCCTGGCGTCAATTTATTTCCTTCCAAAGCAAAAGCTGGACCGCCAATACCTATAACAATGTTTAAATCAGTACTGGACGAAACATATAAAGATAACAGACAGTTTTCAAAAGTCCATAAAACAATACTAAATAGGAACAGAGCTAACCTCCAAAACATCATAGGTGGGATCAGGTGTCATCGAGGAGTGGGCATCCCCTGCCGACCGGACAAGTACAAAATTTAAACATTGATCTTGAACTTTATAGCTTATTGTCGAACAACCATTAAAGTAATGGAATGTAGACATTGTATGAACAATTTCTAAAACGAGGTAAATTATTGACAAGCAAGTTGATGAAACAAGAATCTCAGCCGTCTCGTTTAAAGTCATCATTTCGTAAGTTCTATGGTCGATACAATGACCTTGTCAGCAAATACAATTTATCATTGAGTCAAATGCTGACTGACGTTTTTTATACTAATTGTTAGTCCATTATTTATACATGTGAACTGAATTGACGACGGATTTTCCATTTATGTTCTGATCATGACAAGGAGCACACGGCGAGTGTGACCGGTCAGCTGGGGATGCTTACTCTTCCACGGCACCTGATCCCACCTCTGATGTTTCGGAGGTCCGTGTATGCTCTCCTCTTATATTGTATTGTTTTATGGACTTCAAGATTGCATACTGTTCGTTATCTCCATATCCTTCTTGGGGCCGTTCTACAAAAGAACGTTAGACAATGGTGAAAATATAATTTTTCAAATACCTTTCATTACTTATTAATATTGACATCAATTCCACTTTGGTAATGGAATTTGGGATTTTTATTCAAGAAGTTCTTGAACTGCAATATTAATTTTTGAAGACTTTTCAACTAGTTCTAGTTTTGAGTCTTAGACCATAATACTCTAACCTGTTACTGTCATATTGTATAAATCCAAAGGTACATTCTCCTCAAGAAGTGTCCAATGAAAATCGAGAGTCAAGTTATTACTCAGACAGGTATCGCATAGGCTCGATACAGCAATCTTTGTTTGTGTCGATACATTTTTCATGCAGTTTACAATACATCTATAATATAAAAAAAATAAACTCAGAACTTATTATCCCTTCAGTTTTGACACATTAATGACAAAATAAGTTTGAACACCATTTCACCCATTTCGTTAAGAAATAAAATAAAGATCAACTTACTTGATACTGGAAATTGTGATCTCATCCGCCGTTTCTTTCACTTGAACTGTCTGTGTAAATTTATCATATGCACTGTCTTTTTGGACAGTAAGTGTAATTTTGTAGTTACCTAGACTTCCAAAGCTAAGTGAAATGTTTCTTTCATTAGCACGGGTATTAGCATATTTCTGATTTGAGATACTGAAAGAAAGACAAATCAGACTTCAGTCTTACTTTTCTTATTGATAAATTTATGTAAAAATTTTGAGTTAGTCCAACATTGGAATCCAAAAGGTGTGGAACTTATTTATTTTCATTATATAATATCATATTATATTTTCTAATTTCAAAACTGGAAATGAAAAATCCTCTTCGGCGTGATATATACAATTTGTAAGTGAATGAAATATATGGATTTATACGTTGTTATACGTTTAGCAATTAAATTACGAACAGAGCAATGTTACAACACACATTGAAAAATTACGCACTTTGAAAAATTTTTTCAAAGTGCGTTAAATTTGGAACAACGCACTGTAAAAAAAATGGAATTTCTTTTCAAAGTGTGTTAATATCGACCATATTAACGCACTTTGAAAAAAAATGTGTATGGCTTGGTCAATATTCTTGCAAATCTTAGGTATGATAAATAGTTGAACCTGTTTGATAACTTTTCGGTGATAAGGTCACTTCAGGATGTGAAAGAGAGCGGTTTTGATTTTTCCGTACTTTGAAAATTCTTTCTATCCTAAATGTTTTACTGTACTTAAAATTTTTCCAGTTTACATACATTTTATGTAAACTTAAGTTTACTGAAAGTTTTCAACATCATACTTGTTATGCAAATACATATATTTGGGTGTAGCATATGCATCGGTACCGTGTAGGCGGGGGGGGGGGACACAAATGTTTTGCAATGAGATACATTATATGGGCATTGAAAACTGGGGCTTACCTTGGGGGGAGGGGTCCACTTTCAATTTGCTACCGACGGCTATGTATAAGAAAACAAAAAGTTGGGCTGAAAGACCTTAATTCTACTCGTCGTTTCCTTGTTCTCAATGAAATTTAATCAATACATGTAAATTAAAAGATTTTTTGAAAGATATAATTATTACAAATTGATTCTCTCAATTACTAATATCTAAGTGGATTTTTGTTTTTTACATTTTTTTCGAAGTGCGTTAAATGACCCTATGTTAAAAATGTTGATGTATACTCTTAACGCACTTTGAAATATTTTTTCAAAGTGCATTGCCACAGAGCAAACACGAATTTCTAAAACTTCAGAGGTTGGATCAAGTGCATTGGAGGTGTGGGCATCCCCTGCCGACCGGTTAAACCCACCGTGTACTCCTTGTCTTGATCGGAAAATAACGGAAAATCCGTCTACAGCTGAGTGTGTAAATAATGGCCCAAAAAGAAGTCGGTTCACTTTATGCATGAAATGGCCCTTTAGATATACCAATTGATTGATTAACACTTGATTTTTCATTTGAAGCATTAAAATAAAATAGAGACTTCATGTTTTCATATCCTATTAAAAATTTTCTCCTAAACGTCCAGGTCTCGGAGAACTGGCTTTATGAAATTGCAATGTTCTTGAATTTTTAGGTAAACAGGTATAATTGAGTACTTTCAGTGAAGAAAAATAATATGAGCGCACTCTCTGATCTAAGATATAAAAGATGTCTTTTAATCCTCAGAAACAGTTCTATCAAATATCGAAAAATAACTTTAAAAATTGGCCGATTTTGTAGACTTTTTCAGAATATGAGGATATTGACGCATTTCGTGACGTCATAATGCATTGACTAGCTAGAAAATTACGTCATTTTTGATAGATACGCAATCACCAAAGATCTAAGTTATATTCAATACATTGTTAAGAAAAACTATGTAGTTTCAGTTTTTCAGAAATTCACAGGGCCAAATAAGGCAAAAGTGAACCTTGTTCTTAGTAATGAAAAAAGTAAGTAAGCAATCATACCTATCAATGGTCCAATGGAACGTAGCAAACCTATTGATCTGTTTTGAGTAATTTTTCGCAAGGAAAGAGATCATCTTTCCTACAACGACTTTCCTTACATTTCCACCGTCAATGTATGCAAATGGAGAAGAAGAAATTATTTTTACGAACATTGGCTCGCGGATATATGTCCGCAAACCTGGAATAGATATATTTAAGAGTATCTTATAGGCTTCCTGTGGGGGGCTTTTTGCATCAAACATGCACACTCCTTTTCTTTCGACTAATGATGAGCAATTTTTCCAGCTGAACGTAATATCATAATTAGGACAAAAAATGCTCATTCTGTTGGCAATATACACCTCACTAGAATCAAATACTGCCATTGTCTTGTTCTGCATGGAAAACTGTCTATCGAATATTCCTTCGTGTCCAAAACAAACATTGATCACTTCAACAACATCATGCAGATCTAAATTTGATATAAAATTTTGACATCTAGCGTGAATATTTTGATTTCCAAGATCATAATACGTATGATTAACAATCATTGGGCTATTATTTGTTATATTGTGTAGACTGGTATAATTTAAACGAAGTACTTCATCTCCAGGGCTTACAGTACATTTTACTAGCGGTCGAATGCTATTCTCTAAATGTGGAGATATCCCAATCAAAATGCTGATATTTCCTGGAGGTAATGGCACTGTTTGATTCCTATTTTCTGCAGTAGTATGCAGTTCTATCTCATTAACAAGGTCATACTCTGCGATAAGGTGATCATGTAGGTAAATCTCTTCTGCTATCTTGTTATTATGTCCAATAAATTTCGGCATCTTAAATCCATATTCTGTATAGTTTATCTGAATGTGCTTTCTTGTTTTATTTCTATTTCTTTCCCAAACCAAGATACTTGCCTCATGGTTAGCTAAATATCCCGAATCGAGGTCAAATTCAAAAGCAGCATTGCCATCCATTTCAATTGTAACATTAAATAGAACCTTGCGGAAATCAGCTTTAGTTTTGTTGCAATAAGCTTTCATTGCCCCTGTAGAAATGCTGTTGATATATTGGAAACTGTCATTTTTCGAGCTAAATATGACTTTGAGTTCAAAAGTACCCCTGGAGTTAAATAAAAATATTCGGTTGAAATCGGTTCTGTTGTAAAAGATTGAAGTATTATCACCAATATGCCATGTTTCCTTAATATTATATGGCAATCGAGAACAATTGTTAAGATAAACTCTGAAAGTTACATTTGTTGGAACTGGATCAGACATGAATGGTTTTCCTAAACGCCTCGTTATATTCATTGCAGTTGGATTTTGATAGTTCAAATTCATATTTCTCATATGTACAACCACTACATTTGTAATAGATATCCGAGAACATGAGCTAACGAAGTTGAAACAATTAAATATAACTGATTTATTTCCTGCGCTTTCAAATCTATGCATGTAAGTAGCATTTGCTGTATTGTAGAATGCATTGAATAAAACTGTGTTAGCCTCATTTTCCATCTTGCATGTTGCACTAGATGGAAAGGGTGATTGTGCATACGTTAAAGTATATTCAACAATCCCGTCCGGAATTGGGACATTATACTCTGTTGGAGAGATACTCAAACTATTGCAAACGAACGGGTGCTGTACAAGGATTTGGGAGATCGCTGTTTTTGAGTTATTCCTATTCCATGCAAAAAGTTTGATCGTGTAATTCCCGGGTTGGCTGTAATTATGTTGGTATTCAGGTGGTACAAAGCGTACATGGTATTTGTCTGTCACGTTTTCCCAAATCGTATCATCGCCGAGGGATATATTATAGTTAAAGTTTGATGGAGGAAAATTTCTTAGAATGAATGTTATATTTTCTTTGACCTTGGCGTAGATTTTTGAAGCTTTAATCTCCAGAGCCTCAAGATTATCCCAAATCTCCACAGTAGCTGAAATATTACGGGACTCAATTCTTGATGTTAACTCTGCAGACACGATGTAAGGACCTTGTTGTGTGAAGTTATAAGTGAACGTAAAATTAGTTATGTTGTAATCCGAAATAGGAAAAACGGAAATCAGTGAGGAATTAATACAGACTTTTAAGGAAAATAATTCCATTGGTAGTTGAATTGTGGACTTATTTCCAATTCTAAATTCTGCAGTTTCTGTTGTGTTGAACACAGAGCGAACGGGGAAATTTTGTAATCGCCAATGCTATTCAAAGACATCAAAGTACATGAATTTGTAGAACTTGATATTGCATTTGACACAGTTATGTTTATAATAATTAATCCAGCTTGAGAAATATTGAAAGTATGTGTGTTATTCTTAGTGTATTTTCTAGTTTGAGTGGATGTTATATTTAAGTCGTCTGCAGTCCAGTGCCAGGTTATTCCTACATCGCTCCCTCCACTTACTGATGCTGTAAAATCTTCCGTAGTTCCAATAACCACGTACAATGGACAGGTAATCTATAAAAATGAAAACAACTACTTTTGAGTAAATTTTCCCCCCACTCACAGTCCCAAAGGAAATGTTATGGTGGTAACTAAAACAATACAAATCTGTAAAAAAAGACAAACTCGGACTTTCAGAAATTATAAAATTCTTAAATGTGGCTTTAAATGAGTAGTAAGTATTCCCTGCCACACTTGCCTTGAGCCCTATATATATATTGACATTTTCGTTCAATGAATTGGGTAAATCAAAACCTACCTGTACATAAGATATTCTTTTGTCATAGAAGACAGTTAGATTTATCTTGTGTTCGTTAAACAGCGAGTTGCTTAGGTATGCCATCAAAAGAACATCATACTGTCCGAATTCAGGGAAATCATTGTGGTTTAGTGGAAATGTTAGTGATATTGAACCATTTGAAATAACCAAATCTTCGTCTGTAAACGTGTGATTTTCAGTTTTTAATATCTGGCTTTCATTTTTGAGTGCAATTTCGATATCAGTTGATGTATTCCCGTTTATTTTTAGGATAAGATCAATTATGACACTTCCATTGTCTTCTAGTTTTATATATCGATTCCTCTCATTAGCAAGAGAAAACGCAACAATGGTCGCTGAAAAATAAACAATTCTAATTTCATATTATTTAAAATCATTTTAAACAATTTGTTTTTCTATAAAATATGTCAATTATCAATCATAGTTATTCCATTCGATTCGACTCAAAATTTCCAAAAAAACTTGACTTGAAAAATTAAAAAAATCACCGAGTCTCTCAGTCTTGTTTCATATTTTAAATTATGTTTCACTGACTATAGATGATGAGACCAGCTAACAATTCAAGTCTTTTTTTTCGTCAGCTTTTTTTATTTATGCTGTCTTATTTCACTATCAGCTCCCATTTATTCGATACCCAAGTGCATATTCTGAGTTTTAAGCCGTGGTGGACTATTTATGTTACAAGTTGATGTTACCGATTTTCAACAATGTTTGATAGTTGTATGACCGTTATGTTGACCTTGTTTGCAAAAACAACTTATCTACCAGGGCTTATTTTGATTGACATATCCATGATATTATTCAGTATTTATTTCCTGCAATGTTTTTCGTGCATTTTTTTTAATTCAAACATTTCTCTGATAAAACTGTTTTGATTAATCTTAATTTTTATGATCTTATAAGATAATTTCATTAT